TGAAAAGGTTTCTTTTGCAGACAAATAGTGGCAAATTATTGGGGAAAACTATGAACGACTCTGTATGCAATTAATTTGAATTAAAAAATAACTAACATCTGCTCCTTTCTTGACTCCTGTATTTAGACTTCAAGTCATATATAAAAATATACACAGGAAACAAACCTAAATCTTTTAAAGCAGCACTGGTGAAGAACCGGTACAACAGCTGAAACCAGTGGGTAATTCTAACAGCTATTTCAGGTGAATAAGTTGGTCAGCATGGTGCCTGTGAAAATCCCAAGAGCCTGATCACACCACTCTTCCCTGGGTGAGAAGTCCCTCCATATCAACAGTACTTCCAAAATAACTTGCATGAGCGCAAGATGCGCCCTTAAGATCAGACTTGACTTTAGCTCTCCCTTGAACGGTGAACGGAAGGTGGGACAACAACTTTGTTGCCCAGAGAGAATCACAAAGACGCCATACTCATATGGAATTATTCTTCTTTGTAGTCCTGTCATTTTGCCATTTTTAAAGGAAGTTGCCATTATTACTGGCATTCATCAGCCACAACTTACCACTCCACATTCCACTGCAGGTCACTTATTCTGGTCAACTAGTAATGGTATCAAGGTCCTGCTTCCTCAGGGAAGGAGTTAGAGAGCTGCACAGGTCAGTTACTTACATACATGTATATATCTAAGGTCTGCTTTGGCAAAGCTAGCGTGCAATCTACAGTATTATGAATGACTTCAGGAAAAAAAAGGCATGAAAAGCAGTTCAAAGTAATGCCTGATGCTTATAAAGCATTAGGAGCATAAATCAGTATCAATACCAAGCTATTTCTGATCATCCACAGCAAGAATGTTCACTAGATATGGATGATATTCTTCATATGTCTGTTTCCCCTCACATTTACTGTCTTACAAACAGCCCACAGGTCCTTAGTTGAATTTATAAGTAGTTCGTAATAGCAAACAGAGTAGTCCACATCTACTAAAATCTTGTGGCTTTTGCTATGAGAAGACATACAACGTGAGCTGGGAATTGCAAAATGACCATGTAATACAACAGATAAGACAAAGCATATCCTCCACTTTTTTTTATTTATTTTAGACTTTTCATTAAACAGCAATGAATCTTTACCACAGCCAAGTCTTCTGAAGATAAAAATGTTGCACTTCTCAGCTGGCACTTCACCTTTGAGACAGAATTCCATAGGGACAAATCCTGAAGTGTTTTAATGCCCAGACTGTCCCAGACTTATTTCTTGTCAGATCTCATAAGCAGTGAAAGGGGTTGTGGAAAGTCATCACCTCACTCCCACAACATGAAGATTACTTTCAAGGTATATTAATAGAACTTGATTGTAGGACAAACACGATCTATTGTTCAAAAACCAAAGAGCAATTTTCTCCATTGAAATGATCAAAAGCCTCTAAGGTTGGCACAGTTTTTACAGGCAACATCTGGCATTTCTCATCAATGAAAGACACTGACAGTTCCCACTCACAGCCACAGGATTTTCTTCATAAACAGGAATACCTGTATGCATTCCAAATCCTTTAAAAGCAGCTTCTCAGGAAACATTTAATGTTTTCAGGGAGATTAAGGAGACCAATTCTACACTCTAAAAAAATGTAGTAGTAGAATCTTTGGTTTTCTTCAGTACACACATTTTCTTCGTTTGTGGACAGAACTAATTTTAACCTGACAAAGCTTTCTGTAAAGAACAACAAGCATTCCCCACTCCTACCAAGTCTGCTGAACCTACTGTAAAAAAACAAAAAACAAAAAAAAAGATGCATTCAAATAATTATATTACATAAAAAAGCAGGTTTGTTTTCATGCAAACAAGTTCTTGTAATTTTGGTTTTGAACAAGTCCCTGGGAACTTTTTATCATGTGCTGAATATCAAAATAAAACAACAGTGAGTAGCTACTACAATGCTATAATACTGACAGGAGGGGGAAGTGCCTGTTGGGGCAAGTATTCACAAAGGTTAACATCAGACACTGCAGGCTAATGCCTCAATGGCTTTCTCCAGTCAGTAAAGAGAAATGCTCCTCCAGAGGGCGATTCAGAACCGAAGATTCATTTAGCTACTCTGAATCTCTCTCTGGAGGACTCTAACCTCCATTAACTTCAGAAACAGCCTGCAGAGATGAGCCTCAAAAAGATCTTGCTAGCCTTTGTGAACACTGCCCGGTACTTACCTTCTATCAGTAGGAACGGTGGCTGAAATTCACTGCTGAGATGTATAGCTGGGTACACTGAATTTAAATCTGAACGCTAAGTATTGCACAAGGACTGAGTTTTACTCAGCCGGAGCTTAGCACTCCCACCAGGATCACTGAAACAGTCTCCACAGCGCTGCTAGGATGACTGCAGGATTTCTTTTTTTCCACTGGCCCATTAAAGTGCTCTGTTTGATGGCCACCCACGTGCTGCCATAGAAAGGGCTGCTCTGCCCCCAGCACCTTCAGAACCCACTAGCATTCTGCACTCGTACCAGCACAGCTCCTTCTCTCACTCCGACTGCTCATTGTATCGCTGGAGCAGCACCGGGAGGTGGGTTTTCACCATCAACCTAAACGCAAAGCAGAAAAATTCTCAACTTTTAAAACCTGCTGTCAACAATTTTGTGGTTATTATTTAGTAGCAACAAGAGAGGAAAATGGTCTTTTAACCTCAAACACAGAATAAAGTTGGATTTTGTGGCTTAGGAACATAAGGAAGAAAGCCATATCACTGACGGAACTATTATCAGGGCCATTTCCCAAGTCTTCCTTTAAACAGACTTCAGCAAAGGTGTGACAAAGCTAACCACAAACAATGTTTGTGGTTTAAGATCATTTAAGATCAGCCAAATTATAAGCAAAGCCAGAGACAACGCAAACTCCAAGTAGAGTTGATTTCCAAAGCATGCCTTAAAGTATGGTTAGACAAACCAGCAGAATTCTGAGGGGACAGCATTTTTCACGCTCTTATGACAACTCCCAAGCCCTTGAAAGTCTGGTCCTGAACTTAAATTTTTCCTGTACAACCATGTCAAACATGACTTAAACAAGCTGAGCTTGCTAACCTCAGATCAACTTGCAAACACCTGTTAAGTACATTTTACCACTGAAATCAAGCCTCTTCACCAAACAGAAAAGTTGTTTTCAGATTTCAGAGACCATATTGAGACAAAGGTGTAATGAATACAGAACATATTATAAAGATCAGATATTGTTCCAAACGAACAAAGCCTTGGCACGTTACATAAACTACTTGCAATGCAGTATGTCAAACAAATACTTTAGGCTACGTTACTACCTAAGTAACAGAGTAAGAAATGTTAGCCCCCATCTCAAATCATTTTTACATAATCCTCCTTTAAATAAATATCATAGCATCTTGGTTTCATATTGCAACTTTAAATGAGGGGGGGAGGGGGAGGTTCCTGTTTGTTATATCCCAGTACCAGGTGGTTTTTCAGGTATTCAGTCAAGAGATTTGCAGACAAAAATTACAAGCAATTACTTTGGGTCATCTTAATTATATTGTGGCATTAGATTAATAGAAACTACGCACTCTGCCCTTTAAGGGCAGTGTTCCTTAGAATTCTGCATAATAAGAATCTTTTGGCTTGAAATGAATCTCAAAGCATGTTGATTAGACGGCTGAAGGGCACAGTTTTTAATTATTGTAAAAATCTAATTAAGAACATGAGAAAGGAACAAAGTTTGCACTTTTTTCATATAATTCTTTATTAAAAGAAAGGAAAATCCAGAATTTTACAATTCATCTTAGAGTTGGAAAGTGTTTATAGTCAAATATCACTTTCAGAACAGTTTGCCTCTTTATACTCAATTTACAGCCACAGAAGGACATTTTGTACTTCCACACTCTCTGACACATTATCTGAACATCTTTCTAGAGCACGATTATTGCACAGGACAGTTGTATCTGACAATGCTCATTCAACCAAGTGCTACATTGCCCGCTGTTCTTTCTGTTACACTCAGTGGGACAGAAAAAAATGCAATAGTGTAGCATTTTGCCAAACACATTAAGTCACAAAGTAGATTACCACTTCAAGAAAAGCAGCAATTTCTCTAATTAAAATACACAACTGATAGTTCACCCCAGAAATTTATAAACAAGAAGCATATAATCTGAACACAAACATTTCAGTGAATGCTACACTGTTTCCCAGTTAACCTGCAGTACCAAAACAAGACATTTAGAAAGAACCAGTATTAGTTTACCGAAAAAGGAATGACTTATTTGACCAGCACCTAAACATTCCGAAATTACACTGCAATCCTTCTCAGCTGATGGCACTTCATGCGAGATTAGGTCTCACAAACTCTCTGAAACTGCATTTAACTTCACAATATGTCAAATGAAGTTTTAACACAGAGATAAGAGAACAGAGGTTTCTAAAATATTTGCAGCAATTAAATCTTACAATTACTTTGGAACATTTGGCAGTTATTGACTTATTTGAGCAATAAACACCTGAAATTTCCCCTCTATTTGAGCTTAATACTTGAACCACGTGAAAACCGTTCCTCTGAACGTGGTTTCAAAGTTTAGAACAAAAAATAAAGAAAAAAAAAGTTTCATCACTCAGTAGGAACAGTTTCTTTGTAGCAAAATCATAACACAGTTCCCCCTTCCACAAAGTAGGCTCAACAGTATCCAATATTTTAAATATCTATTGATCATGGCTGTGTGTTTACCCTCATGGTGTCAGTAACACCTACAGAGAAGTCCATCTTTCTTTCAGGAACGCAACATGGACTCAGCCCATTCTACTAGTCAAGGAAGAATCAGTCCATGAGTTAATATATTTTAACAAGAAATGGAAACTTAGCTCTGTTTAAAAAAAAAGATAAAATCCTGGGAAGCAATTTTATTTTTGCTAGCTTTAAAAAAAGCAAATTTATTAGTTGCATTTTTTGAGATCCCAAATAAATAGACCTTTCCTGTGTGGCAATGTCACTTATTCTAAAGCTTTCCGTGGACGTTAAGAACTCCCAACTCGATCTCTGGGAATAATCCGTAGATCTGAACCATGCTTTAGAAATACATTTCCTACACAAACAAACAAAACAGAATGTGTTACTAACCAACCAAATAAAATGTGACCTAAAAAAGCATACACATTTAAAGAACAATAATGTTATGTCAGTGTTTAACATCTTCATAGTAATTCCTCTAATACATCAGAAATATATTTTTTGTTTCCATGGAATTCCATCTAATTCCTTTTACTCCAAAGAGCTCTTGTTTTTAAACAAAAATACCAGACCCAAAGTCATCTACTAAGACTTGAAAGCTATCACCTTTCAAACTTTATAGTTCCATACTTGAATGCCTGATTAAATTGATAAGCCATAATAATTTCAAGACCAGGAAATTAAGTTTTACTTTGCCGTAATTATTTTTTTTATCTTGAGGTCATTCATGCATATACTCATTTTTAATTCTCTCCTTGGTTCAGTACTTACCTGCTTCTAATTCCAGAACCTTAACTGTACTTTTCTTTTAGGAGGGTTCTCCTTCTCCAAGGAGATACATATCCAAGCATAAAACAGTCTCATTTTATCATAAAAAAATCTTGAACTTCATATTTATTACTGCATAGTCTTAATCACAACAGTCTTTTCAAGAGGTATAGTATAAAAAATAGAAGTTTCTAATATCTTCTAGAATATTTTCTGCATGTATTCAAGACTGTTGTTCTTTTTTTTGTCTTGCTCTTTTCTTCTATTAAATGTAACGTTTGAAAATTAAACCATATTACTAAAAATGATGCATTATTTAGTTACTATATGGAACTTTTTTTTTACTTCATACTGCTACTGCATGAAATAGATTATTTGCAATTCTGCAATACCAGGTTTTAATAATATCTACCTATTGTAACTCATCTTTGTGTTGACTTGTAAAACCAGAATAACTGTATTTCCCTCCAAAGCACACCATTTCATGAGAGTGCTCTCATAAAAAAGATTAAGATATTTAGCATTTGTTCAAATTATTAGCGTATTGGAACAAAGCTATCTTTTTTCAAACTTCCCTTTTCCGGCACATGGATCAGGACTGAAACCATTCTACTTATTCAACAGAACCAGTATTAGAAAAGCAGTTCAAAAGAACATGTTATCAGAAGACGTTCTGTTTTTAGAGATCTGCCAAGACCATATACTGAAGTGAACTATAAAAGCCACTGAACACAAATCTGTCACCCCAGCAAACCAGAGAACTAAGCTTAGATGAAAAGTACCCATATTGCAATGGCCATCATAAAACTCTAAAATTTTAAAACAGCTGCATCTTATACAGGCAGCAGTTCACCCCACCTCTCAGTTTGTTTCCATCATCAGTATCACAGTGGTTTATTAAAATTATGGCATACTACTCCCAGAACTATCAAGGATGTAAAATTGAAATCAATACAGGAATTAAGTGCTAAGCCTAGCTTTTTCATCTTTAATTTCCCCTCCTCCAGGGAATCATGTAGGGAGAATGAAAGTCATACCTGAGGAGTACTTTTATTCAGAAATGTGGGGAAATAGTGGAACAGTACAAAACCTCTGAACTACCCAATGATTGTTAAGACTTTATTCCTAGATCATCTTATTTTGGGAAGTTTTTGAAGACTAAAGTAACTATTCAATCTATTTTTTAAACATATGACAAGTGATGCTAAAATAACAAATACTACTGGACTAGGTACAGTGGGGAAAAAATATAGTTATTACTTGTTATGTCAGTAACATGTAATACAGTACTGCTCTTTTAAACTGCACACTTCACTAGTTAAGCCCTGAAGATCAGAAGTGCCTCATTTTTTCAGACCTAAATAAACAAATGTTGAGCTATAGTTCTGTGGATTTAACCTTTTACACACTATGCTGACCATAGTTTCAAACTACTGTGTAACGCTTCTCCCATTTAAGAACTCAACCCCAAGTGCTATGCACTAGTTTAAAAGAAAAGTAACTGAGGTTTTTAATACTGGGCTTCATAAATAATAACTTACCTGCTGTCTGTGCAGGGTTTATTCCTATTCCGTCTAGGGGAAAAAAAAAAATTAAAAAGAGAAAGGTGAAACAGACATATTACAATTTACTACACAAAACTTGAAGCTCAAAAATATAATACAGCAACAAGATATAATTATTACATCAGGCCTTCAAGCAGCTATTTCCTACAACCAAAACTAGTCTTATCACAGGAGCTAAAAGAAACCTTCAGCACAGAAAATCCATGCTATATGTTAGGACAAAGCCAAATTAATAATAATAGTGGTTTAATACCTTCATCCCATGCATAAGCAATTTAAATAATGCTGCAATATTATTAAATTCAGTCTGCAGTCTGTAGAGGTTGCGAAAGAAAATACACTTTTGCTTTTATCAATAACTCTTCACTGAAAAAATAATACAGAAATTGTAAAAAAATACATAAACTATATTCTTACCATTTGTTATAATAGCACTTGTTGCTGCAGGAACTTTGAACTAAAGGAAACAAGACATAAGGGAAGTAAGACTAAAGGAAATAGGACAAAATAACACGAGACATAGTTCAAGCAGAAAATACATGAGGAATACTCAAAGCAGTTATAATTTTAGCTGGTTCAGGTACAAAGAAATTATGAGCAATGATTCCCCTCAGATTTACAGATACAGCAACATAAATTTTTAAAGTCAAAGATGATTAGACACCTCAATATAGAATGCGAAATTTGCAGTACTAAACAACTAATTAAATCCAATTATTATTACTCCTTGGATAAAATGTAAAAGTCAAGTACCCGCAAAGTTAAGAAATATTAGTTCTTATTATACTAAATAAAGGAATACCTAAAACATGTACGGATATGAACTTCTAAGAAGCATACCTGTTATGTCTAACAGTTAAACAATAATTAGCTTGAACTAATCTTGGTTAATTTTGACTGATGTCCTAGCTTTCTCCCTGGCTCTCCTGGGACCTCTCCAACTGCACTGCTCCAAGAGAAGAGTTCACTCCAGGATTTGCTTACAAAAGGAAGCACTGAGTCAGATCAGGCTCCCTCCTCAGATTTCTGACACCCGCCTAAGCAGACTTTGTACCCTCAACCACCACTACACGCTCCCACTGCACCTCCATGTGCATCCTATGAGGTCAGTTTTACAACACAAAAAGCCCTACTCAGGTGGGGTTGCATTGCATACAGGCTTCAAACTATTTCAGAAGATCTGAACAGAGATGGGGAAGCCAAAAATAATTATTTCTCAGGACTAGCGGGAGCCAGACGGGGCCAGAGAAAAGTCCTGCACTGTATAATATGGCTGGACCACACAGAGCAGAAGAGGTAGGCAGTGTGGGTGCAAGTCAATCAGTGTTACTTGGCTGGTCTGAGGACCAAAGGTTGCTCCTTGAGCTTCCTTTATTTAGCACAATGAACAACCCCTAAGGTAAAAGACTGCTGTTCAGCAACGAGCAAGTATCAGTGGAACCTCCTCACAAAGCACTTCATGCTCTGTATCACATAAGGAAAAGCGCAGCTAACTATGAATGCTAACACCAAGTGCTTCCCTGGAAGAACTGCAGAGCTCTCCCACTTGCTGAACAAGTCACTTCAGCCATGCCTTTCAACAGCATTCCCTAGTTGTGCCTTCCCCATTTTATAATTGCTCAAGTTAAGATTTCCAGGTCTGATCTGCAGAAACTCTGTGGATTAACAACAAAAAGTAAAGCTCAAAGAAACCATGCTCGAATACAGTACTTAATATACTGAAAAAACAGCTCTTCTTATCCCCAGACACACAAAATTAGCATTTTTTAAAAACTTATTTTCTCTTAGCTTTTTATCCATAGCAGGCAAATCATGTCACCTCCTCATCTTGCAGGGTGACATGACAACAGTAATTTCTGCAAAAGACAAGTTGGATACTAGTGTCACTGTAGAAAGACCATGAGGAAAGCAACAATTTGTCTTCAGAGCAAGATTTGAATAACAAAGTTGATAAAATAGAAGCCACATATTTAACAGTAAGAATGTAAAAAAAATGCCGTAACAGCTAATGTGTACGTATCATAGGCTGAAGAAAGCAGCCTTCATTCTCAAGTTCACTAAATTTGGGCATCTTGACTTAGCAGTCTAAGGAGAAATCTTTTGACAGGCTTGGGTTTTATGCTGTTTTGGGTGTTTTTCTGTTTTTTTTTTTTTTTTTTTTTTTTTTTTTTTTTTTTTTTTTTTTTTTTTTTTTTTTTTTTATTTGTTTTTTTTTTTTCATAACTAGCCAATACCATGGATTTTTCATCCTACATCCTCTGAAAAAAAAACCAAAACAAAAATGTAACTTCTGGAACATTCACTGCCTCTTCTTATTTCTTCTCTGTCTCTTCTGATACACAGCAATGCACAGAAGGGATGGATCATTCACAAGAGGATGGACGTCTCCACTCATTTCGTGTCAGGTTCCTTTTCAGTAGATGAATCTATCCGATGCCTATACACTAGATGCACATGAGGACTGTGTGCCAACCAGTCAGTGAAGCACTAGTTAAGATTCTCTTACTGCTTCATACTGTATTGTGTTAGAAAAGAATAAAATACTTTGTTCTCTTAGCCCAAAATACTGCAACAGTTGTCAGTTATATACTCAGCACATGAAAATCATCACAAGTACAATACAGCAAGGGAAGCTACCGTTGGAAATAATTGCACATACTTCAGTACAATATGGTTCACTAAAATAAAAAATCCTTCCTGTGGATGCGAAGCATATGTTTCCCATGCTGAAAATATACAAGCTTTCCATGATACCAAGTCAAATGGATACTAATGTAGCTAAGGAGTTCTGTATTCTGTAGATAATTCCTGGCTTGCTTTGAAACCAAATTGGGTAACATCCAGCCCCAAACTCACACACTTTAAATGAAAAAAAAAAAAGGATTATTTGCTTTAAATGTCTTATAAATTGATAACTGAGGCTGCCACACAACTTCTCTTCTCCAATGTTAGGAAATACAATTGTATCTACAGTCAAACTATAAGGACAAGATGACAATCATAGCAACAATTATATCCCCTTCTCACTTTTTACAATGATGAGAAAAATCCTCTACAGCAATAAACTATCTCCTTTTGGTGCCAAGAACAGGAGATTAAGTGAATTAAACCAGAGTATTTTAACACCAATCTATCAAGAGTAACATTAGAAAGACAAAAGAATAGTTTCAAATATATTAATTTATGAAAGAATAAAATTTAACTTTAATGGAAACGGATTAGAATTTTAGTAACAATCCTACAAATGTAAGGGAGTTTTTTTGTAAGTATTGTGCAAATGTACACTTGAGGTATGTACCAAGTAGCTCTAACAGACGAAGGAAAAAGTTCAATAGATACCATACATTATAAATTGGAACATTAACACTGTCACAATAAACTGTGACAGCTGTGGAAAGAACTATAAATAGATAAAAAACTGAAGAGAGCACTGTTTCCAATACTCTACATTTCCATTTACATTTTTGTATCTAGTTTGTAAGACACACAGAAAATAAAAAATAAAGAGTTCAGTTTGCATTGTCCAAATTATCACTGCCAAATGTATATATTAGAAAGGGCTGAGGATGCTGAAAGCGATTGAGAATTCCTGAAACCTCCCCATTTAATGATACAGTTTTCTTTCACTTCCAGCTCTGCCAATTATGAATTGTGTACAATGAACGTTACAAGATGTGCTAGAGATGACAGAAAAAATCTGTTATGTATTTCAATTACTTCTAAGGAAAAAAAAAAAAGGAAGGAACACATCTCGTTCTGTGCCAACGAAAATAATTCAGAAAACTCTACTTGGAAAAACTGTAATCTCTGACAAAGCACTGTGACTGAAACTTGATATATCAAGATGACCGTTCTACATCATGGCTACAGTTCTGCTGTTCCAGGGGAATTCTGGTTACTATCTGGCCAAAGTTCAAGACTCTGAAAAACAACGCAGTAGAAACTTGCTAAGGCTAAACAGCTGAAACTTAAAGCCTTCTCTGCTCCAAGAGCTTTAATCACTGAGAGGGTAACGCACTTCGCCCGGAGACCAACTAACATCTTTGTCCAAAATCCAGGGCTGCAGTCTGATCTTATGTTTCATACAAGATCCTATGAAATCGGTATCTGAATCACAACACAGAGCATGAGTTAATGTTAAGCTATGCAGTTCAAGGAACAAAAAAACATTTATAGTTGTCAGTAACATTTCACAAACCATCAAAGAAGCTTCATTCCTGGGGAAGAGCCTAACACTCTTTCGCTCTGTATGTACAATGCACTTAGTTCAGCCTGGTCTCATAGTGACATAAAGAGCTTCAGTGCCGATTCAGAGCGGTCCGAGGCCAAACAGCAAAACTCCCATAGATGTTCAAAACACTCACATCAACTAAAAGAATGGTTTGCTAAATGTGAATACTTAAGCAACTAATTCTTCTCTAAATCCATTTCAAAGAGGACCCTATCACAACTAACACTATGGTTCCTGGAGTAAGTAAAGTTAACAGGTTTGATGGCAACCCTCCCACCAGAAATGGCCCCTCACTCCTTGTGTCTACGACTATTCAGTCCCACCCCAGTCCTTCCTGGTGCCTTATACTAGTCTATTAGACTTTTCAGTCTAGGTCTCTATGTACGTGTTCTGTGGACACAGCTGCTTTAGTTTAGATTAAAAATAATTGAGAAAAAACATAGTAAAAAAAGCAATTAAACCAGCAAATATCTTCAACTGCATTTATTATTCTGTATATTGTTCTGTTCACGCAAAGTTGCAACAAACAATCTACAATCTCCTCCCACGAGCTGTGTTTCCACTAAGAACTTCTGTCACATAGTGGTATAACACTGGCAACATAAGGAGACTCAAAACATGTAGTCCATTCTCCTAATTATTTATTTTACTATAATTCTAAGGCTTGAAGAAAATGAAATTTTCAATAACCCAGCATTTCCCAAGTTTTCCCAAAAAGACAGAAGGAGAATTGCAAGAACAGATTCCCAGCTGAATCTGTCTGCTGACTAAATGGCACTTTTGAGCATCATGCTTTTGAGTACTTTATTTTACTGTTTACACCCTGATGAACATCTGTTAATGTTTATACACTTCATCTGAAACAAACAAGATGCATCTCTTCAAATACATTATATAGGTACTTGAGGCACCTGCTGGTTTTGGATTCCATGTGAAAGATCAAGCACCCAGAAGCCAAAGAACACATTACCCACATCTTATTCACTTAAGCTCGTTTTGTGAGACTAGCTCATATGCCTAACCTCAATACCTTCTACAATCAAAAGCCGTATGTCTTCCACAATCAGAGATTACTGGAACTGGATGTGAGAGGAATGTTTAAGAATTTCCTGAATAGTTCTAAAGAATTTTCCGAGTATTCTACAATTTAGTATATTAAATATTTTATAGCAGTATCTTTTAATTATGTCCACTATCACAAATCCATATGCTACTGATATAAAATAGTCTAATTTAATTCCAAAGAACAGGAAGAGTGTCAATACCTGCTGCTGATGTGTAACTTGTGCAAGAATTGCTAAGTTTAGGTTTTTGAAAGTTTTGGCAGGCCGCCACTGACACCAGTAAAGCTTGTGTCCACGCGTATCTAATGAGACCATGCTTCGTACTGAACGAACCGTTGCATTTTACGGTTAAAAACCTTTTGCTTTCCGGAATGTCCAAAAAAGTTAAAGGGCAGCGTCACCACCGCCTACTCACTTCTTCCGCAGCAAACTTCAGGACCGCGGTGAAAGGCGTGCTTTCAGGCACACTCAACCTGGAAAGACAGTGCCGGTAAACACGCGACC